AGATAGTAACAACTGGTTGGTAAGTGAATCTAGTTGGTAAATGAATCCCATTGCTTTTGCTCATAAAAAGGTCATAAAAGTAGATCACAAGATTCCAGGACACTGCAACTATCATAAGTATGAACAGTTGCCAAGCATCCAAATGTTGATCACGTGGCAATGGGGATACTGCCACGGTTGTAAGTGTGAAAAATGATCATGTCACTTTTTTCAGTGCCATTGTGACTTTGGATAGTCACTAGACAAAAGGTTGTAAGTCTACCTGTAGTCCATCCTGCCATTTTTCCCATGTTCTGGGGAAGGTCACAAATAAGACACAAGGGCAATAGTTTCTCCTATATTCTTCTGTTTTGTTAATGACCAATTTATTAACCAATTTCATTGTATTTAAGTACAATGACAATAAAGATTATACTTATTGACCCTTCAATGGAATTAGTAGAAACCATCCAATGCTGTATTATGTTTGTATCAGTCTAACCTTCTTTAGAAATCATTGAAGTCACCACTCTAACTTATTAGAGATTCAAAACAACGTTGTTATGGAATAATATACAGCCTTGTAATCAAGCTTTTAGAACTCAAACGGAAATGCATTTAAAAAGCAGATTTAATTAGGGAAAAAAAGCTAGCTATAAAATATAAGCACCCAACTGTTAACACTATTTAAGACCAAGTCAAGAAGGGGAAAATGTCCTTTGAAATGATGTGGGGAAAAAATATGTTCAGTCAACATAGAACATAGAATAAGAACCTAGATAAAAATTGCCAAATTATATTGCTCCTAATCCATCTGATCCGTGTCATGCTTCACTGTTTGTGTTTCCTAGCAGTACCAGTTCCAAAAGAAAATTTAAAGTTTAAAGATGGCATTGTCATTATGGACTGCAAGAAGAAATGAAATATACAATTTGTCTAGTCTGCTGGAGAATTTATTTCCAAGTGGAATTAAATAGAGGGGACAATTGGTATAAGAGCACATGGCCCAGACAGCAGGGACTAAGTCTCTTTGTCAAGGTGACAACACTGGTATCTTTCTTCCAGCAAGGCAGCGTGTTAAAAATTGCTAGTATATAGGCCCCAAAATATTTTGCAGGAAGACGATTGCAGAGCTGTTTAGCCAGGGCAAAAGGTTTACTTGGGTTTTCCATCAAAGGAAACTCCTAACATGATCTCTCTGCAAATCAATATCATTTACTGATTGGCAATTTCTTTCGCTTTGGGGAAAAACAAAGAATGCAGGGCTATTAGAAGTAGGTCAATATATTCTCTCTTTTCTTTCCTCCGTTCTTCTTGGAAGCTGAATCAAAAAATTTAAATGATGTCAGAAAGAACAGGACCTCAGAGATGAATATACGGAGCAAATTCTGTATCTTGCACTACTATAAACGACATTATAACTCAAGTCTGCATACATGGAATGAGAATTTTTTTTGCTTCAGCACACAATATTTTACTTTCATTTACTCTTTAACACTTGGCGTTGAATGGCCTATTCTTAAATTTTGGAAAGGGTGTTTCCAAGCCTACTCCACTATCTTTTTACCATCCTGAATAATTTAGTAACATGTTCACACTTGGTCACTATACTGCTCACTACATTTAGATCAGGGGTGTCAAACTCAAGGCTCCAGGGCTGGGGCCGGCCATGGGGTGCTTAAACCTGGCTCACAAGGCCAGCCTAGAAATAGCAAAGGACCAACCCACAGTGCCTCTGGCAGCCAAAATGAGGTGGGGGAACACACAACCCCCCTTGCCCCATTTTTGGGTCTTGATAGCCTCCTGCAACACTTTGCTGGCCAAAATAGGGTGCGGGTGCACATCCCCCCATGCCCCATTTTGGCCAGCAAGTGTTGCAGGAGGCCGTCCAGCAGGGGTGGGTTTCTCGCCCCGTTCCAACCGGTTCGGTTGGAATGAGGCCGGCGGCATCCTTGTGCACGTGTGCGGTGCACGCATGCGTACTAGTGTCTGCGCGACACTCCAGCTGCTCCTGGAGGATCGCGCAGGCGCTGTATGCGTCCTGCGCATGCGTGGAAGCGCAGAACTTGTAAAAACCGGGTAAGGACCGGGGGGGGGGGGGGGGG